GTTTCATGTCAATCGGATGAGTGGTTCTATGAGAACACTCCCAGACAAAAAAGTACCTGAGAAGAAAGTAGAAAAAAAGAATAATAATAATAATAATAATAAGAAACAGAGTAAAAACAATATGTTCCCAAACTTCGTTTGGGGAACATAATAATGTCTCAAAGTATATTTACAACATGCTGTGTCCATCTTGTGAAGCTGGAAGTTGCAATCGTTTACTAAAAATAAAACCGCAACCGTATCAAAGTTTAAAATAAGGAAGAGTTTTCACAATCCCAATTGTAATCTTTTTTTTTTACTATTTATTTGTAACGATTAATTGAAATAGTATACCTAAATATTTTTTCATTGTTTTGTGATATTTCTTTAAATGTAAAATGCGTGAAATAAATTGTTGCCAGTAAATTCCTAAAATTATTTACCAAATATACTGCTAGTCATAACTATTTTGTTTTATATTCCAAAGGGTACACTGAATTATACAAAGATTGGCTTCTAATAGAATTTTAACTGTCTGACAGATAAAGGGTACACAATCATTGTGTATTGAATGGTGTTAACACCTGTGTTGGTTTAAACATCTGTGGGACATGATTAACAGATCCACGCGCCATTACAGGGGGATTAGTGCTATACATCATTGAACAAACAAAACTGTGAAATTCATGATGACTGTTAAATTGTGAATGTACTCTCAATTAAATTAATTTTTTTACAACAATATCTCAAGCAAAATTATAGCATGTTAATATGATTAATTTCAATTGCTCACTGTTACATGTAATGGTCATTTGCTTGTCTTAGCAAATCCCTGGACAAGAAATATAAAAATGGCGGTCATCGAAGTTAATATTGTACCTCAGTAAATAACACGGAATAAAAGAATGTGTCCACGATGTTCTGAAATGGAAATGATTGTTGTTTGATTTCGGGTATTTCCCTAATTATAGCTGTTGTATACTACCGTACTTATGTGTTTAGCGACAGTCAAACTATGACGGCATTGAACAGGCAAGTTGGAGAAAATATGTTACATCACAATTCAAGGAAGTTTTAACTATGTTTGTATAAAACACTATTAAAATGCTGTACTTATAAAAATACCAGTTTATTTTCTCAATATGTTAATATCAGGGGTTAAGTTAAAGAGGTTTACATGTTCTGATATGTAGTATCTACATAAAAATCTCTAGAAAATTGATAAACAAAGCCTCGTCCTATCTTCCGAATTCATCCTACCTAAGGATTTTTTAAAAATTGCTATTGAAAATGAGCCTTTCGACCTATAAACCCCATCGACATCGACATATACCCCAAAAATAACGGTAATCAATAGAGCCCTGCCAAAACACCAGAACCCCTGACCCAGGGATCATTAAATTCACATTTTTTGAAGAGGCACCCTTCCTCATCATGACTGTAAATAGGGTTGGATACCATTAAGGATGAAACGGTACCATACCATAACAGTATTTTTGAAACGATACGGTATTTTTAACAATATGGTACTATACCTTGATGAATGAGAATAAGGGTTCATTTCATAACAAATATGCTTTCACCAATCATCAATCTTTCAATGTTATAACCTAAAATGAGCTTATAAACTATGTTTATTTTTCAACCTTTTAATAAATGACCAACAAAACAAAATAATTGAATCTCAAACAAATTAACTTGAATAGATACATAATCACAAATATACACAACTTCCGTGGTTGCTAGAACCCATTTTGTTTGGTCGCACTAAACAACGAAACATTAGAAGATGGATAGAAATGCACATCACATTTTTGTGACATTTTGCCTTTTTAATTTACATTTATTATCAGTTTTTATTAATTAAGTTAAAAAAATAATACGATTAATTTTAAGGTATTTAATTTTTTTTAATAAAAGAGATATACGTACTGATTTACCTCGAATATCGGCAGTCGAAAGCAAGCGTCGTATAGTCATACTTAACATCCACTTCGTTAATTAGCCTACCCTTTCAGTGTGCGGAGAATTCTATTTTAGCGAGTTTTAAATCATTTTTAATGGATTAAAATCTTTCTAAGATTAAGAAATAGTACTGTTATTAGTACCGGTATTATATGAAACGGTATTTTACCAGAATTTTTGAAGTAACTATTTGGTACGGTATTGGTACCGAGTACCGGTATCCAACCCTAACTGTAAACTTAGTTTATCGGCTTAATACCTAGAAGCAGAGGAGAATATTTTCAAAGAATTAATGCATTTTCACTTTATAATTATTAGAGCCCCACCCTAACATCAGAATCCATGACCCAGGGGCCATGAAATTCATAATTTTGGAAGAGGCACCCTACCTCATCATAACTATGTACTTAGTTCATTGGCTTTATACCCTGGAGCAGAGGAGAAGATTTTCAAAGAATTAATGCATTTTCACTATATAATCATAATACACCAGATCCCGACCCAAGGGCCATGAAATCCACAAATATGGAAGAAACAACCTTGCTCATCATAACCATGTACTAAGTTAATTGGCTTAAAACCCAGAAGCAGAGGGGAAGATTTTGAAGAATTAATGTATTTTCACTATAATATATAATCACTAGGACCACACCTTAACACCAGAACCCCCGACTCAGAGGCCATGAAATTCACAATTTTGGAAGAGGCACTCTTCCTCATCATAAATATGCATTTAGTTTGTTTTCTTAATACCTAGGAGCAGAGGAGAACATTTTTAAAGAAATACCATATAATCCCTATTAACCACCCCTGCCCCTATAAGCCCTCCCCCAGGTCTTTTTCAATTGTCGGGAAATAAGGGCCCCCTGTACAGTGATTAAAATCATCTAGAATCGTATCGAAAGTCTGCCATAATTTGAAGAAAGTGAAAATGAAACTTGGTTATTGGGTAACTCGTACGTAAAGTATTCCTGAAAGCGAAAGATTTTTAGAATGACCTAATCATTATGTATTTCTGAAAGTGAAAGTTACCTACAAAATTTGTTCTCCTTGTGTATTCTCTAATTTCTTGGTGGAAAAATGAATCATATAGCATAATTTCAATGGATTAACTAAGGAAACTTAGACAATCTTTTAGTGGTTCTCTGAATTTGTTTTTTTTTTTTCAAAAGATTTTTTGAAGTTAAAATATGACATCGAAAATTATACCTAGAATACCAAAATAACTGCCCCCTTTTCGCAATTTTCTAAGCACCCTGGGTGGTTACACTGTAATAGGGATAATATGGTAAAGCATTTTCACTATATATTCAACAGAGCCTCGCACTTACGCCAGAACCCCTGACCATGGGGCCATGAATTTCACAATTTTGGTAGAGGACTCAATGCTTATTACAATTATGACAACAGTTCACCTGCTTGATGTCCAGGAGTAAAGACCAAGATTTTTAAAGATGGCATTAATTTCGATGGTTTTAGTCCCACCTCTCAGGTTCCAGGGGAACAAGGATCATGAAATTCAAAACTTTTGCTCCCCTTCACTCATATAATTATATATATATATATACTGTATGCCAAAATTGGTTGTAATTGGTTCAGCAGTTCCAGTGAAGAAGCTGAAAAATGTTTAAATGTTAATGGACAAAGCACATCACAAAATGCATGACGACGGATGAAAACAGCAATAGGTCACCCGAGTCAGTGAGTGACTCAGGTGACCTAACGAATCTAATTCAAGTAGCTAAATAAAGCTATAGTAGGTAATTCAAGCTATGTATCTAAATTTATTGATTGTACTGGACCTGATTTAGTACTTTTACAGGTCCAGCACAATACCCTGATAAAGGTATATAGCTTGATAAAGCTATATAGCTTTATCAAGGTATTTTATGTAATGAAAATACCAAAAAAAAAAAAAAAATATCTTAAAAATTAAATTTAAAAGTCGAATTATGAGTTGTGGTCAGTGTGTTCACTCATGCATGAAAAGTACTCAGGTATCAAAAAGACAGCATAAAAGAACATCTCCTAACCAGTCAGGGGTGACACTGAAATCCGTCATTTTTAAAATGACGATTTTTAGTCATAAAATAAAATTTTTATAATGACTTAAACTCGTCATTTTTAAGAAAATGGCGAAAAACAGTCATAAAAATTTAGAGTGTTTCTAGAATACTGAGTTACCTCTCTTTGAAAAATGTTAGATCCACCAACCGAAAAAAGGACAAAAAACATCATAAACACACTTCATTTCTCTAATACAGTTGACTACAATACTGGTTATGTTGACAGTACAAATTTCCCAAGCAAAAGTAAGAGTGGAAGAGTTATTTGTCAATTTATTTGCATTAAATAGGATAGAAGACGAAAATGACAATATTCCGTCTTTTTTCAAAATGGAGGGTCTGGGCGCACTGAAATATCTTGCTTGTTTTACGGGGTACACTACTTTTATATGGCTTTAACTTTTTGTCGGGACTTTTCTCTACAAGTACGTATTCTTTCAGACGGAGTACTATATGTTTTTATAGGGCTAAAAGCCAGTTAAAAATGGCGAATTAGTTCTACCAAAATTCGACATTTTACCGCTAAATAATAACTTTCACCTTACATGTTGATGTTCTAACGCACGTGGTCGGCAGTAATTAGTGACCCGGATGAAATGAAACTTGCGTAAACACTCTTCTTTCAGCGGTGAATTCAAATTTCACTTTTCTGTAATCAGGATAGAAGAATTCAGTTGAAAAAGAAAATATGATGATAGTCATATTGACAAAAATGACGAAAATACATAGTTGGTAAATATGACGATTATCCATCATTTTTCAGAAATGATGGATTTCAGTCTCACCCCTGACTGCTAACATGACATGTTTTTTTACTGATTTCTTTGCATTTGAGTACTTTACATGCATGAGTGAATTTACTGACAGAAACTCAGAACTTGACTTGATCAAGGTATTTGTAATACCTTGATAAAGCTATATAGCTTTATCAGGGTATTGTGCTGGACCTGTTTTATTTATAACTTACAGCAAATTAAAAATAATACTTACTTTGAATTGTGTCCATTATGTTCTTTCCGAAATATAATAATGTACAGATGTCTCTTGTAAATTTGCTAGGTGTACACGTTTCGTTGCATTCGACAGTGTTCTTGAAACTGGATGCTAGTAACCCACTACAGTATTTATTAATTACTGTAGCATTTGTTTTGTTCATGGTATTCAAAATTTCGTCTATCTGAAAAACCTTATTATGGCAAGTAATATTATTCAGACTTTGAACAAATTTATCACAAAGTGGGATGGTTTTCTCTGTGCTATTTAGATTGTCTACACATTTTTTTAAACTTGGACCCTTTTCGTCAAAATATAAATCACTAGGCGGAAAATGGCACCAGTTCAATCTCCATTGCTTCGAAGGATCAATGGGAACCTTTGCTGGCGCTGGAATCACGAAAGATACCAATGTAACTTGTAAACAAATCAATAATAACTTGTTCATCATGATCATGGCAGTCATCGTGGAACTTTTCATGTATTTCTAACACTTCATTAAATACAGGAAATCCTCTTCACATGAAGCATTTACAAGACCATGGAAAATTTGAAGAACCAGATAACTAGTCTGGTTCTTGCCCCGCCATGGGTAGGGCTAATTACCAAAAATGTCCATAGAAATTACCGAAGCTATCTAACTGCCCCTTTAAATATATTCATGCATAAATTTTTATTGTAACAAATGTTAAAATTCATTTTAAAATGCTTTTATTTAACACCAGTACATAAATGATTTTATTTCGCTCATTACCGTTTGGTCAAAGAACGGCAACTCTTGCAATATTCTTATTCCTTTTTTCGCTTTTTCCTTTTGTCCCCTTTTTTTGGGGTGGGGGGGGGGGTCCTGAATTTAGTTACTTTTAACGAGGCCGGGTCTAATTATTTCTACCTTGGATATTTTGATAATTTTTGTTGAATTAATTTTTACCATTATATTAATTGTTTTCAGATTCCCGATTTCCTAGGGGGTCATCTCAAAAGTTGTCAAATTTTACTATTGGACCTTATGGGAATTTATAGGAAAAGCGCAAGATTATCATATTTTTTCCATATTTTTTGTATTTCTGCCCATGAGATTTCTTTTTCAGCCAAGTACATGAAAGTTATTGTAAAAAGTCACCAAATTGTGAAATTTCAAAAAACTTGACCGTCTAGGTTGGTCAGGCTAAGAATTATTACAAAGTTTATTTTTTCAATGCCCAATACCTTTAAAATTGCAATATTGCGGTAAATATATCTATCGGTGCAGCGGCTCAGATGAATTATTTTGGCAAAAAATAGCAATGTTTAGATTGCTAGTATGTTTCTTTTTATGTTCTGTCAACAGTTTTAGTAAAATATCCATGGACGTCTTGAATACACAAGTGAGTCATGTGTCATTCTTCAGCAGGCGCGGATCCAGGAATTTTTTCCGGGGGGTGGGTGGGGGTTTTACACCCAAATAAAAAAAATTCCAACCCAGAAATTTCTTGATAAGCAAATTAAAAAAACACCTAAATTCCCTTCCCAAACGTATTAATCCCAGAAAATTTCTTAACAAGCAAAAAAAAAAAAAAAAAAAAAAATTAAAAATAAAAAAATAACATAAAAGAAAAACAACCCACTGGCACGAAAATCCATTTCCCATACGTGAAAAATACCTATTTCGTGATGGTGATGGTGGGGACCACGTTTTCGGGGGGGGGGGGGGGTCCAAAGTCATTTTTTATTTGCTTCAGTATATACTTTTAATAACTCCGCGAATTCCGGGGGGGGGGGGGGGGCGCCCCCTCTAGATCTGCGCATGTTCAGCGTTATGCATTCCTTACAAAATTGGAAAACAGTGACGTCGTTACCAATCAGCGTTTATTCCTAATTATTGTCGCAAAAGCACATTTTCATGCAGACCCATAGGTCTTACAGATAATGTTAATTTTGTATTAATATCACAATATTTGGGAAAGTTGTAATGTTGCACATATGACTGCATGAAATTAAAAAGCTGCGCAGAGTCATGCGCACTCGAATTAGACTCGGCCTCGTTAAAACGAAAAAAAATCAGATATATCCCAAATAAAATTGTAATAAATGCGTTGAAAGGAAACAATATGGATAAACCACCCTTAATAATTAAGATGAAAGTGTGCATCTTTATAAAGTGACCAAATAAGTAATATTTAGAGAACGAGTTTCCTACTGTATCGGAGATACAGGGCGGGGCTTAAGGCGAGAGCGATAGCTCGAGCCGGGCCCCGCCCTGTATCTCCAATACAGTAGGAAACGAGTATTCTAAACGACTTGTGACATAACCTTTCTTATGACCTCGCTAATTTACATGTGTATTTGGGTATATATCTCTCAACCAATCAGATGATTTTGCAGAAAGTTGATTTAGTACCCCATTTTTAGCCATCGCAACTGAAATGCCAAGTGAAGTGGACGTGCAGGTATCTATCAATTTAAATAATTATAATTATGAGATGCATTATATAATGTGTTTTCCCAAAATTTAATTTATATTTGATTGCGTAGGTTTTTTTCCTTTCTATTTAGCTCTTGCTGACTTTTTTTTTTAAATCTAAGCAAAACATTTTGATACATAAGAATCATATATATGGGAAAGTATTTGAAGCAAAAATGTTTCGGGGAGGTTGTATTCTGAGAGAAATGTCAGACAATGTCATCGACCGGTAGTCATATATGTGTATACAAAATTCTTGGCTCCAAATTGAAATAAACAGATGTAAGAAAGGGGGCATATTACCTTCATGTTTGAAACAAAATGTAGAGGAACCAAAGGCAAATCAAGCACTCACTCGCGCGCGTCGGTATCCCCCCCCCCCCCCTTCGAGTTTTTTTTTTCTTTTTGGCTTACGTAAATTATGTTCGCTAAACTTGTATACACTTTTAATTTATCAACACGAAACGATCACGCACATATAGTGTCAGGCCTGATTACAGTGTATGAATCCCCCCCCCCCCCACGAAACCCCAGATTTTCCAGTTTGGACATTTTTTTTCGAAGAAAACCATTTGTGTACCCCTTGACACACAAGTAGACTACACTAAGATACATAATTTAGTGCATCGGTTTTTGATTTCAATGAACGGTGTTGCCATGGTTACTAAAAATAGAAATTTCTGTGAAATTCCTTCAAAACGCTACTCCTCCTACAGTTTTGATCTGATTTCAATATAACTTGGCACACAAGTAGACTATACTAAGGTACATAATTTAGTGCATTGGTTTTTGATTTCGATGAACGGTGTTGCCATGGTTACTAAAAATAGAAATTTCTGTGAAATTCCTTTAAAACGCTACTCCTCCTACAATTTTGGTCTGATTTCAATCTAATTTAGCACACAATTAGAATACCTACGATACATAATATGTATTTCGGTTTTTGATTTCAGTGAATGGTGTTGTCATGGTTACTAAAAATAGAAATTTCTGTGAAATACTTTCAAAATGCTACTCCTCCTACAGTTTTCGTTTGATTTCAATATAACTTGGCACAGAAGCAGACTACATTAAGATACATAATTCTATTTATTGTTGCATGTTGCAAAGTTTCAAATCCAAGTGCTACTTTGTTATACATACAGACCAGTAGAGCTACAGTCTCATCAGAGACTTCTGGTTTATCTTTTGGCCTGGATTTTGACTTGCATTTGAGAAACCTTTAACCTTCGCCATAAGCTGCCATACGGGGGCATCAGTGTTTCACAAACACATCTTGTTCTCCATTAAATTAGATTTTTTAGGTTCTGAAATCCGTAATTTTCTGAAACCTAATATCTTCAAGAACTGAACAAAATTTGCATGCGTCATGCAAAAATTCTACTGTTGTCAATTTTCCCGTTTGTCCGTCACGGTGTCACTTTAAGCGACATGCTTATGATTTGGCATGAAAGGAGATCCATGCATATCTTTGCGAGAAGTGGTTTGATTTCTTTTTATGTACAGTAGGATAAAAGACATTTTTATGCCCCCGTATCGAAAGATCCCGGGGGTATATTGTTTTTGTCCTGTCTGTCTGTTTGTCTGTTTATCTGTTTGTCTGTCTGTCTGTTGTCAACTTTAACCTTGCCCATAACTTTTGATTGGTTGGAGCTATGACTTTCATGTTTCACATGTGTATTCCTTGTGACAAGATCTTTCTTTGGGTACCATCATATTTGACCTTTTGACCTAGACCTTGGAGTTTGACCCACTTTTGCAAAATTTTATGAGACTTTAACCTTGGCCATAACTTCTGAACAGTTAGTGCTTGGGATTTCAAACTTCACATGTGTATTCTTTGTAACAAGGCCTTCCTTTGGATAGGTCAAACTCCTATGTCAAGGTCGAAGGGTCAAAGTGGTTGGTATCGAAAGGAAGGTCTTGTCACAAGGATTACATATGTGAAGTATGAAAACCCTAGCTCTAACCGTTCAAAAGTTATGGGCAAGGTTAAAGTTTTTCAAAAGTAGGTCAAACTGCTAGGTCAAGGTCAAAGGGTCAAAGTGGTTGGTATCCAAAGGAAGGTCTTGTCACAAGGATTACATATGTGATGTATGAAAGCCCTAGCTCTAATCGTTCAAAAGTTATGGCCAAGGTTTGAGTTTTTCAAAAGTAGGTCAAACTCCTAGGTCAAGGTCAAAGGGTCAAAGAGGTTGATATCCAGAGGAAGGTCTTGTCACAAGGAATACACATGTGAAGTTTGAAACCCCAAGCACCACTTGTTCAAAAGTTATGGGCCAAGGTTAAAGTCTCATAAAATTTTGCAGAAGTGGGTCGAACTCCAAGGTCAAGGTCAAAAGGTCAAATATGATGGTACCCAAAGAAAGGTCTTGTCACAAGGAATACACATGTGATGTATGAAAGTCATAGCTCCAACCAATCAAAAGTTATGGGCAAGGTTAAAGTTGACAACAGACAGACAGACAAACAGACAGACAGGACAAAAACAATATACCCCTGGGATCTTTCGATCCGGGGGCATAAAAATGAAGAATTTAATTTGGAAAACAAAAAGTTTGAATAAAAAGAAAATAAGACCATTAAAAATAATTGTGGCACTGATGACCCTCCATAGATTCTCATTATCAAAATTCGACAATCATGTAGACTTTACATTTGTAGACTTGTCAATTGTCTTTGTGTTTTATTCAGAGCGGGAAAATATAAATTCCGAAAAACAAAGTTTACAACATCAAAAATACACATATTCATAGTATAAACTCAAAGTCAACACAGTTGTATGTTCGGAACTACATGCTAGGATGTCGGAATTACCTACTTACATATGTAGACTATGAAACTGATACGATTACAAGTTTGGATTTACAAACTTACAAGTTTGGATTTACAAACTTACAAGTCTTGATTTTTGAACACGATTACCCTCCATAGACATAGGAGTTTGACCTACTTTCGAAAAACTTTAACCTTGGCCATAACTTTTGAATGGTTGGTGCTAGGGCTTTCATACTTAACTTTAC